AAGAGCGCGTTTTCCCCGTGGCTGCTCGGGCTTCGGAAGTTCCCGTCCAGCTCCTGGTAAAAAAGGTCCCTCTTTGGACCGATCTGGAGGCCGTGGGCGGCAGTGGCTGCGCCATCGTTCAAAAAGGAGAGTTGATCCTGTAGCTGGAACTCGTCTATAAGATCCGCTCCATCGCCACTACCGTCATAGAACTGCGTCGGCGCCGGATTGCTCGCGTTCTCGAGCTCATCCGAGCTCTGGAGCTCATCGCCGGCGCCACCAGCGTTGCTATTGGTGCGGGAGAAGACGGAGGGCGGAGCCCACGAGGGGGACGAGCTCTCGGCGAGGGGGCCAGCGCCGCCGCCAAAGAACCGAGCAGAAAAACCCTGCCGGCCGAGGAGGGACGCGTAAGGAGCGGCGCTGGCGGCGGCGGACGGGGAAGTGGCCGGCGGGAGGAGGCCGAGCTCCTTCCGGGCCTTGAGGACCACCGACTGGAGAAGCGCGTCGGGGCCAAAGGCCAGCCTTATCAACTCCTCGCCGTGGTCCTGGATCAACAAGAGCCCCATGACCTTGGCGGCGTTCTCCGGATCCAAGCTCTGAATCCGCGAGAATACGACCTGAGTCGCCTCGAAGGCGTCCATTTGGTTCGATTAAGCAACCAAATCTCCCACAAACACGACCTTGGAGCTATTGCCACCAAGTTCCCACTTTTTGTGTTTTTGACAAGAAGAGGGAGAAGTAGGAAAAGGTAAGGAAGACAGATGTAAAAGGAAAGCGAACAATTTTGGCGTTGGTTTTAAAAGGAAGGGAGGGGGACAGTGTTCAGCGAGAAAGAGGATAAGCGAGAAGAAAACAAAGGAAAAAGAAGAAAATAAAAGAAAGAAGAAAGAAAATAAACGATTCTTTTGCTGCCAATTTAATGCAAGACTCTCCACTGGCGTTCCCAGACGCTGAGAACAGAGGAGAGAGAGGGCTCGGCTCAGCTACAAACTCTCAATTTCAAAGAGAAAAAGAACGCTGCTTTCCCTTGTTTTTCTCCTCGCTGTTTCACCGGAGTGCGCCCCTCCCTTTCTCTCTCTTCCGCGGTGACTCCATTCCCGAGGTGGTGCTGCTGCTGCTACTGGTGGTGGTTGTTGTTTTGATTGGACTGGTGGAGCTCAGCTCGCTACGGTCACCACGTCCGCCACCATCCACCCAGCGGCGACTCCTCCTCCTCCTCCGCTGTGGCTACTAGCAGCTGGCCGGAAGTGTCTCCATTGTTCTTTCCCATGGATAAGCTCAAAGTTCCAATCTTGCCTTCTCTTTCTTTCGTCCTCTGGCCCTGCTCTCATTCTCACACATACGCCATCAGTCCTTTCTCCATTGCTGCCAGGTTCCCCGTCTTTACACCCCCATTCGTCGTGCGCCGGGTCCCCCTCTGAGCGCTCTCCATGTTGGTCCTGTCGCTCCTTCTTTAACCGTGACAAATGGCCATTGTGAGATCGACGTCCATTAACAAGCAATTATGTCACAATCAAACACATAATGCTCTCCAACATCGACTCTATTAATTTAGAAGCAATGGCAAGTCGGAGCACAGAAGATTAACATTTTCCTTCGATTTCTTCTCTCATCATCTCCGAATTAGTCGTAAATGAGTGCCACCAAGTACATCTTTCTCCCTCTGAATCCTCCTTTTTGAGAGAGACGCTTGTTGAATCTAATCTTATCTGCGGTTCACTGTGCTCAGCTGGAGCAGATCCTATCATTTTGCTCCTGCTTTCGCCGAGAATAAGATAGCCACTAATCGCTGCCCTGATGTGCACTCTGCACTTAGTACACACCCATCAGAAATGTGTGGCCTTTGGGTGTGTTCTCAATCACCAGATTTCCATCCCACCATAATTGCCATGCGATCCATAGTACTCTCAGTTCACCAACGCCCGAATGATCTCTCTTTGAAAGTTTTGCCTTCCCCATCTCAAACATCTGCATTGGATTAGCTTGGCAATCATGGCGGGAGGCATAGTAGCCTTTTCTCCAGCCACATGCATGGAATCAGAACATTGTGCTGAAGAGGACTCTCTCTCTCTCTCTCTCTCTCTCTCTCTCTCTCTCGTGGGGCCGACGGGGAACAACACCGCTTTAAAGTTGGGTTTGCTACTGATGGCTGTCAGAGGCTCTCACATGGAGGCATAGGAGTCACTCCCCTTCCAAGTAGTCCTCCCACTATGAGGCCGTGAAGCAAAACCCATGTAGTAGTTGTTGGGAAAGCTACTGGTTGAGTGATTCCTGCATTGAAACAACAGGAGGACTGGAGGCAAAAATAAAAAGGGATCATTCTTTCTCCTTTCAACCAATCCGGCAACAATGTCTCATTCAATGACAAGAAAAAAAAAGGAATTATGATCTCATGTGCATGGAAGATTTTAGGGTAGATAAACATAAGGTAGTCAAAGTATTTTATGCAATGATAGCACAGTTCACACAGCTTAAAGTGTTTCTTTCGACGATAAAACATTTGACATGATTCAATCGAATGTACTATTTGACGATAACAGGATTGAAACGGTCCAAAACCCTCACTTCGATGATGGACAAATAATTACCCATTTTTATTGGTATCGATAGTAAAGTGAGAATCTGATCATGCCTCGCTTTTGCTACGTTCGTCAAGACTCAATGGGGGATAAATGATAGGAAAATAATGATATGATCAATATTTTGGTATCGCATCCTTATCATTTTAATCGTATATGACTAATGTTCCCCGAACATTAACAACAACATCACGACTATCACATGTGCCATGAATTGAACATAATATAACTTCAGGGTCGAGAGATATGTGTAACCATCCTCGATATTAATATCCATCTATAAGCATAACGAACCTAAAGCCACATATAAGCATAACGAACCTAAAGCCACATTATAAAAATACTCCTCGTGTACGTTTCTTCACACATAATAATTTATAAATCTTTTGTGCATTCGCTATAACAACCTCAACATTCAATTCACACATAAGAATTTTCTTATATACACCCCAGAGATTTGACGTTTCTCCACACCATTCAGAAATAAATACAAAATAGAACTTTTGTTAGTTCTGAATTCACAGGACAACTAAATTTTGACTTAACACGAAACAATTTTTATCTATTTTTTAATATATTAATATTAAAAAATTTAAGTAATTATTTCTTTTAGACAATAATCATCGGAATACTTTGACGTATAGGCCCTCACCAATTAGAGATTAAAAAGATGGTTTCTTTTATCAACTCCAAGTCATTCAAATAATAATTCATTTGTAAAAGTTTAAGTGATCAGAGTATATTATCAACATGTCAAAAATAATTGAGCTGATGCGTGTGGATCTGTGATTTGAAACATCGCATATCCAATTGGGTTATAAGTAAGTCAAAATCAAATTGTGATCTCCTCTCATTTGTTGACTTCCCAACATATTCCCCCTTCTCCACTTTATATCTTTATATAGGCAGCGATCATACATGGAGACAAGCAAACAGCAACTCAATCTATTTATTTTTTGGTTGCAAATAACTATATATTCCCCTTTACCATTTAGCTATCCTGCAACGATTATGCAATGGACCATTCTCTTGCATATCAAGTGATAGAGGCAATACACTCTTCCCAGTCCAATGATCATAATATTTCTATGGATACCACGGAAAATAAAAGTAAAATTACATGTGTACTTTGAGATTGTCTTATAACATCATCAACAAAGACTGTACAGATTCCTACCTGAAGAGCTTTCCTTATCCTAATCAAGGAGAGTCAACTTCTGAATAGTCCCATCCATCCAGCTTGAAGGCTACATGCCAATTGGAAATCACATTTACTTATTTTATTTGTTTCTGTCAACAGTGTCATGCCATCACATCCTTACCGACAGCTACGCCCATAATCAACACTAAGCTGGAGTCTCATGCACAAACTAAATTTGGAAGCTGAGCTTTCAGCTCTCACAGAGTTGGAATCCAGCTTGAGAACAAAGAGAATGGAATTAAAATATGCAAGATTGCATGACAATATGTGTATGTGGACTCTGATGCTTGCATAGTGGATGGACTATTCCAATTTGGATCTCTTGCCACATAATGGAAGGCCACTAATTAAGCTCCAAAGGCAACATAGTATTGTCCTAAACCAGCAACACTAATATGAAAGGCAACATGCTGATCTCTGCTCGAGTTGTCGATCTCACCATAATGGTTAGTCCATCTATTTGTCTTCTTACTATAACAAAATAGAAATCATATCTCGATGAGTTCAATTATATTTAGTGTTGTCTTGATATCATTGATAAGTCAATATAGCTTGATTCCATCACGATGACATAAGTTCATCCACATGGTCCATATGATAATCATGAGAGGTGGTTGGAGTGGGAGGAGATTTAACTGATGCAATCCCGAGGTATTACTTGTTCGCCTAAGGTGAATTTTGCATTGGACCGAGATGGTCCGAGCTTCATCGGTATTCTAGAGACGAATCGAGATGTACCTTGGTTTCATTAGGATCCTTACACAAATGATCAACATTAAGGAAGTTTTCGACCCAACCCTTCCGATAGTAAAATTAGTATTGGAGTGAGAATAACTTTTATATCTGAGCGGTCAATGGAGAGAAATTGATGACTGATTAGGATGGATCCATGTATCCTTCAGGGGCTCATTTATGTCGACGGTTGACTGATATACACTCTTTTGTGATATGTCATTAACGAAGAATGACTTCTAGGATGTTGTTTGTGACGCATATACCGGAAGACAATCGCCTGCACGAAAGGATCGAAAAGGGGGAGATGGTAAAACACTATAACAAGTCAAAAGTATTATAATATACTAAAATACTGTAACAAGTGAAATTTTTTAAGGATAATTTGAATATTTTTTATATTAAAATACTGTTTTGAGGAAAAAAAGAGAGGTATATATATATATATATATATATATATATATATATATATATACACATGGTTATGAAATCATGAATCGTGTCTTCCTGTAGCCGCGGTATGAACCTGGAGGTCATTTCATTCATGGTTTCCTCCCACTTCAGATGGCAACCGAGACAAAACATTGTAAACCTGCCGCCCATGGAAGCCATCAAAAAACTCCATTCCCACCTCATCGTCACAGGATTGTACAAGCACTCATCGTCCCCTATTTTCAGGGTCCTCATCTCCTATGCTCTCTCCCCGCCTCACTTGACCCACGCCCGTCGTGTCTTTGAACAAGTACAAGAACCCAACACTTTCCTCTGGAACACCATGATCCGAGGATTCGCCCGTAGTGAAGCGCCCGATGATGCCATCCTTTTCTACAACCTAATGCGAGCACAAGGCGTCCCGCAAGATCACATGTCCTTCCCTTTTGCACTAAAGGCCTGCGCACGGATCTCAGCTGTAAGAGAAGGAAGCACGGTGCACGCACATTGTCTCAAACTCGGGTTTCTGTCGGATGTTTTCGTTTCCAATTCGTTAGTTCATCTTTACTCGGTGTGCGGGGATATTAGTCGCGCAAGTTTGGTGTTTGAGGAAATGCCTGCGCGAGATTTGGTTTCCTGGAACTCATTGATCTGTGGGTGCAGCCAACACGGCCGCTTGAGGGACGCATTGGGTCTTTTTGAAGCGATGCAGGCGGAAGGTATCAAGGCCGATAAGGTGACCATGGTCAACGTCATTTCTGCTTGCACTCACTTGGGAGAGTGGGACTTGGCTGAATCCATGGTCAAGTATATAGAAGAGAACAGTGTAGAGGTGGATGTTTACCTGGGAAATACTTTAATTGACTATTACGGTAGGCAAGGTTTAGTAAATTCTGCTGAAAGGATATTTAATGCGATGAGAGAGCAGAATATGATGACTTTAAATTCTATGATTACAACTTATGCTAAGGCTGGGGATTTAGTTTCCGCTAGAAGAATCTTTGATAGCATGCCTGAGAGGGATTTGATATCTTGGGGTTCGATAATCACAGGGTGCTTCCAAGCAAACCATTTCTCAGAAGCTTTGGCACTATTTCAGCAGATGCAGGAGGCAGAGGTTGAACCAAGTGAAATTGTTATTGTCAGTGTGCTGTCAGCTTGTGCCCATCTTGGTGCACTCAACCTAGGTAAGTGGATCCACAACTACATTCGAAAGAAGAAAATCAGGGCGGACATCTATGTCGGAAACTCTCTGATTGATATGTACTCAAAATGTGGATGTATAATGGATGCATTCGAAGTCTTCATGGAGATGAAAGAGAAGGATACGTTGTCATGGAATGTCATTGTGTTTGGACTTGCTGCTAATGGTTATGTTAATAGTGCTCTAGAAGTATTTACTGATATGTTGAGAGAAGGATTCCGGCCTGACGATGTCACTTTCCTTGGCGTCTTGAATGCTTGTGCTCGCAGTGGATTGGTTGACAAGGGGCTCAAATATTTTGCCAGCATGAAGGAAGTTTATGGGTTGGAGCCACAGATGAAGCACTATGGCTGTGTCGTTGATCTTCTTAGTCGTTCCGGTGAGTTGGATAAGGCTTACAATTTCATCAAGGAGATGCCAATGACCCCAGATCTAATCATATGGAGGACACTGCTTCGAGCCTGCCACACACATGGCAGTGTGGATTTGGCCGAGATAGCCACAGAGAAGCTTAATGAATTGGATCCTAGTAACAATGGCAACTACATGCTTTTGTCCGACACCTATGCCAGTGGAAATAGATGGAATGACTCCATGAAAGTTAGAGAAACAATGGAGTATACCGATGTGCAGAAAATACCTGGTTGTAGCTCGATCGAAGTTACAAACTTGACAGATGAGTTAACGGCTGCTGAAATGCCACTTATGGTGAATAAACAAGGTGTTCCTATCTGATTCTGTTAACTGCATAATCTGGATAACAAGTGACCAGATTTTATTTGTCATGGCACTTGCTCTAATCGATTATTACCAAGTTGACCAGGCTCATGATTCAAGGATTAGAGATGTCATTCAGATACCAATGGAGGTGTTTCCAAACTGTGAGATGCAAGACACCATATATTGGTTACACGCTAAATTGTTTTCGCCTGCCATGATAATGCGATAAAATTCTTTGGCACCTTGGAGAAGCAACTTACATGTGTATCCAGCAAACAATCCGCAGTATATATTCAAATGTCTTTACAGGTTGCACAGCTCGGCTATGAGTGGAACAGTAATGTAAAAAGTAACCCAACTTTTTCGCTTAGAAGAGCTAGTGCTGCTGTTTGTTAGATGAAGCAGCACTAAATTTTGGTGACTCTGTACCCTGTAGTATCCAAAATTCCTGTGGCAGATTGGACTAATATACATGTGGAACCAACAAAATGATGGCTTAATAAGTTTTCAGATTCTTTGTGACAGCCGAAATGAATCAGTTTGGTGATCTGGAAGTAAATCCTAACTGGTTTTTTTCGTCGGTCAGGGGGAGAACCTTAGGACTGGCTGATGCAGTTGTGAACCAAACTAAGATTTCCAAGGTTTTGTTTGCATTGAAAAAAGAATAAACATAACCTACTTTTCCCCAGAATATGGAAGACTTAAGTATGATTCTTTCAGCTGCAACTGATAGTGATGAATTTATTGATACTGTTTCTGGGAAGTTGGCTAATGTATGTTGCAATTATGTCTATTAACTAAAATACAATCGTAGTTTTGTACTCCATAACTGAAACATATTATTTCATCATATTTAGGCATGAAAGCCATGTTGGATAGCGAATTGAGACTCTGGATTAGCCAATGCTTGCATTTTTCTTATGTTTATATCGATGATAGCTTTGATATCTTGGCTTTAAATTTAATAGTCAATTTATCATTTTGGATCAAGTTATTATATAGAAATTCAGAAGAATTACGCCACCGAAGGCGATGACACCTAAATTTATGTTGTGACATTGTACTATCTGTTCAAGAACTTAATTAGATTATCCATCATTCAAGTTCATGCAGATGGATGTGCCTCTTTTAGTACCTCTTGTAGAATGTTTGTTTTGCCTACACTTTAAAATGAAGTAGAACCATTGATTTCTCTTGAATGCCAGTTTACTAAAGCTTGTATGGATAAGAGTCATCTAGTAAGGAACAAAGTATAAGCAATCTTCTATTAGAAATCTTCTTTCTTTAGAGAACGAATGTACCCTCTTGAGAGAGCCAAAAGAGAATAAATACTACGCAGAGAGAAAAGAAGAGAGGAATTGTGGCGATTGCACGTTTTGCCATTTCTACAAATCTCATCTATTTAGATTATGAAATACATATTACCAATGCATATTAAAATGATCTTTTGATTATATATTTGCTTTGAAACAAAACAAATATTTGGACACACAAAACCTTAGGAATTCGCTACAAATTTGGTCAGATGATATGAAGATTTGTTGGTTCACATTACACGGTCCGATTTTGATCTGATCGGATCGGATCCATGGATTCTTCAGCCTCTTACTCCGCATTAGAGATAACTAAACTCCGGTACTGCGCTAGTTAGGGAAGACCGGAAGGAGGCCGAGAGGCGGTGGCAAGCGAGATGACGGAGGGCATAACCACCGTGACCATACCCGTTTTGCTGTTGGGCTGTGGCGGCGTCGGCCGCGATCTCCTGCACCACATCGTCGCCTCGCGCCACCTTCACTCCAAACGGGCATGTCTCTCCCCTTCTCGCATCTAATGCTGTTCGTGATGGTTTGCTCATCCTGGTTGTTGTTGATGCTGCTTCGTTTGTCCATCCGTTCTTCTGACACCGCCTCTCCCGACCCTTCTTTCTTTGTCAGGGGTTGGTTCTGCGAGTGGTGGGGGTTTGTGACAGCCGTTCGTTGCTCCTGGTGGAAGATGTCGCCACGATGGGGTTCGATGATGCCTTCTTGACCGAGATTTACCGGATAAAATCCTCATCCTCATCTCTTTCAGCCCTTGTTGATTTTGGTTTGTCAGCTTGAAATCTTTTTCGTTGGTTTACCATTCTACATTGCCATTCTTTTGTTTCTTGCGACAGTTGTGGAACAGATTGTTGAATGATTGGATATATTAGAAGTTCGGATGTCAAAATGCCCTTCTATTTCCAGAACACTGAATAGCAGTGAAGTCAACAAAATGTTTCTCGAACGAGATCTAAGAAAATGATTCTATCTTTTAGGTTGTCTTCAGATAAAATATAACAACTTTAAGCATTGACAACTCAAATTTAACCTAATTGAGTTTCTTCCAACCAATCATAGTACGACTTATAGATAGGAATTGGAGATTGATGATTGGCTGATTGACTTTGAATGCGATTGGATTACCAAGTTTTTATTCATATTAAATCTGTACAATATCATTTATGGTGTTTGAATACTTGATTTCAGGACATTGTCACCTGTTCAAGGATTCAGAAGCCACTACAAAGATTCTTGATATTGCGGGTTTACTTGGCAGAACCACTGGTATGTAGAATGTCTGAGACTCTGAGCTAAGACATTATGTTGTATCTTTTGTGTGTTCCGGACATGATGAGTATCAGAAATATTTGATGTGGCATTGGCTGATGCTGCTGCATGATTTTAGTTCTAATGCACATGGAGGTGACTATTTACCAAAAAGAGAGCTCTTTTCCTGGAATGTGCATCTATGCCAGTTTCCTGTGGTTGCTGATGTTGAGTTTCTTATTCTTCATTTGTCTTTGTTAAAAAGTATGCCTGTTTCATTTAAATCTTGATTATTTTAAACAGGTCTATCTGTAGTTGATTGCACTGCCAGCACTGAGACAGTAGGTATATTAAAGGAGACTGTTGACCTCTGTTGCTGCATTGTGTTGGCAAACAAGAAGCCACTTACTTGTGGAATTGTAAATTCATCTTCTTTTTTTCTCTTATTCTGTTTCAGGAAGATCTAACTAATATCATGTGGTAATAAAAAATGCATTATTTGCAGGACGATTATGACAAGCTCATCTCCAACTTCCGTCGCATTCGATTTGAATCAACCGTACGAGCAATTTATTTCTTAGCTGAATCATTTTCAAGACAAAAAGAATTAAGTTATTTTCTATCAGTATATATGATTTCTTGATTTGATTGATGGAGGTTATTGAATCAATCATGCGAACACAGATCTATACTTTCTTGATGTGATCCATCTGTTTACTTGGTAGAACATCAGTGTTATTATGAACCTTTTTATCCTTCTCTCTTCTCCTCTTTTTTCTTTAAGTTATATGATGTTTCTTCTCATCAAACCAAAACAAGGGTCACTCTAAGTTGGTCTACTCTTTGGTATTGGTCTGTTTTCATTTTTCTGTTACTGAACAAGTTATTCTTTTGTGATCATTCCCCGAGGCTTGTTGAAAAGATTTATAGAATAGACAAGTCACCCTGAAAGGCTTTGTGATGCAGTATATAAATAGATTTGAAGTTCAACGGCAGTACTGGAAAAGATTAATTTCAATTTTCATGTCACCCAATTTCAAAATGTCAAGTTCCAAATGACCAAATCCCAAGCTTTGAAGTTTCATGCTACTAACTTCCAAGAAACGAAGAATTAATAGTATATTGTATTTTTTTCTCTTAGTAAATTGAAACAATTAATTAGATTTTTGGTGGTTGAGGTATCTAATGTGCAAATCATCTATAAAAGATGGGTGAATCAGCCTATATGGATATATGAATTGTAACTGAACTCTTAGTTCTAAGTTACTTCAAGATAAAAAAAAAAAGAGATTCTCTTTATCATATCCCAAAATCTTTCTCAGCCTCTTCTCTTCTTGTTCAACATTACTTTGCCTCACTTGTCTTTTTGGTAAAAGTGAAAAGATGACTGATGGTAATAGACCTGTAATTTATTTTTTATCAAGGTTCCTATCGCATGCTTTTACTCTTAGCCTTTCTTTTTGTTATGACTTAGCTTTCTAGTCATAGCTTAGCTTAACTCTTTGTGCCTTCTAAATTAGCTTTTAAAATTAGAAGGATATCATGCCAGATTCCATGCTCTACTATTTCTCGTGTCTGATATATTATTGATTGATTGATCTATGGCTTTTCTTAATACTTTGTACTTGAATGGATAATACCTAATACCTTTTACTCATTGTCTTGAGTTGCTAGGAAATAGGATCTGTAGTCCCGAGGCTGGAGATCATGAAATTCTCCAGTGTTTGTTTTTGTAGGTTGGAGCAGGCCTTCCAGTAATAGTTTCTGTTACTCGTGTGCTTGCGTCGGGAGATCCCATTTATCGTATCATTGGAAGTTTGAGTGGTATTTATTTAAAGATACTTCTTCAACTATCTACATTGTTTTCATATTCTAGTGCTAATCATTCCTGTAAATTTGTTTATAGGTACACTAGGTTATGTGATGAGTGAAGTAGAGGATGGAAAGTCATTCAGCAAAGTTGTTCTCGCAGCTAAATCTCTTGGATACACAGAACCAGGTAAAACCTATAATGTTTTCCCTAAATTTTAGTTTCAACAGTAATAAGTACCTGATAAAGTCATTTTGAATATAAAAGTTGAACTGGAATGTTAATTCACCGTTGGATGCATTCTTCGGGTAATGTTTGGATATCTTTCATTTTTAAGAACAGGAAGTTGTACTGATTGACTGGTCACTCTCTGACCCTCATCTTTCCTCCAGAGGTACTTGATCATTTGCTGCTGCTACATCATAGCCATGCTGTCATACAATCACATCCGGCTGTCCATGTACTAGTTATTTTTATTCATTTAGGCTATGACTTAGGTACAGAGTTTGATGTTCCAAATCCATTCTTTGTTTCTGGTTCTTTCCTGTTCTCCTAGTTATAGCAGTGCATATGTGTCAATGGCCTTTTTACCTGTCACTGTATTCAATATAAAAATCATTACCATTCCTCTTTGCTGGCATTCAATTGTCACTATCTAATGTTAGATCCTACTGCTAATCCCACTTCTACCTTATATGGGTTTTTTTGTCAATGGTCACTGCTGATTTTCTCTTGATGTCACTCTTAAAAATGTTCTCATGAAATGTCTAATCTTTGCGTAGCAATAAAATAAGCATCTCCATATGCTCAAGATTATCCAAGTATGTTTTTAACTGTTCTTGTCTCAACGTAGAACCATGCATGATGCCCTTTTGTAATCCTACTTGGAGAATATTCATGAAGATAACATGCTTAGTAATGATATTTTACTTTTTTATTTTTTTAATCCATAGTCTTAGTTTGTAAGTACCGTATTTGTAGAATATAGTAGTGAATTGAATTTCCTTCTTTTAGAATTTGTCCAAGTAGTGCTGCTGCTCTTTCTCCCTTTTGTATCCCTCATTTTTTTCCTTATTTTTCCTTTCCTTTTCATTCCTTTTTTTGCAGCTGTGAGTCTTTCTCTCTCTGTCAACCTTCTAGTTTCCCCTTATGGGAGGGAAGGGGAAAATGGGAGGATAGGGAATATCTTTACTAGTTACCACTGGACAGGTAAACCTTGCTTAAGGATCAGTGTCAAGAAATTAAGAAAGAGGAGGAAAGAGAGAAGAGAAGGAGAGGATGACGAATATCCTTTTACCTATCATAATTTTCTTCTTTTCCTCTAGAATGAACTTTTTGCTGTGCACTTTTTTTTCTCTCTCACAAATCTGCTAAGAGCTTGTCTCTCTTCTTTTTTTCTTCGCTTGTGAACTTGCCCACTCTTTTCTCCCTTCTCTCTTGTTCTTATTTCATCCCAATTTATAGACAAGAGCCCAAACTCCATTTAGAGAGCAAGTCAGTCGTACCTTGAAAATGAAGTAATAGTATCTTGGATGGCAATGAGATACGCAATTATCTGTCCAAGGTAAAGCAAGATACACATATCAGCTACTCTGATATCATTCCATTTTTAAGAGAGGAGATTTCATATCTCAGATTAATATCCATTTGTTTTCTTGAAAGAGAGGGAAAAGATTACCTTAAACACTAAGCAGGTAAAGAAGTCCCCTTTCCCGAAATGAATTAAAACAATAGGAGTTTCATTGTGGAAGCAGTTATTTTGTTTCTCTATGCTATCTGTACGAGGTTACCATGTAACTCGTGGAAATCTAGTTGTGTTTATAATTGACCTTGAAATATGACATGCATTGTTATATAACAGAGAATACATAAATTATGAAATAAACTGACAGTTGTCCTCTCTCTTAACAGATCCACGTGATGACCTTAGTGGGATGGATGTTGCCAGAAAGGTCCAACTTCTTGATTGCCTTTCAGTTGCATACTCTTCTGGTTGCTTATGCTTTCACTTGTATTTTTTACAAGAATTAATCTTATTGACAACAAAAATACCTTTATTATCAGTTTATCATCTAAATAAAACCTTTATTATTAAAAAAGCTTACCTTTCTTTTTAGTTTTTGTCAATTTGTTGAGCTTTTTTGGCTTATTACTATTTTGCATCAGTGATATCTGAATTTAGTTTTGGAATGTATATATAGCTTCTGTCTTAAGAACTTCTGACAGTAGATGTTTTTTCTTTCATAGATCTAACCTAAACAGGCAGCTTCATTTTTTTGCTACTCTATATCAATTTGGTAGGCTGCTAGTGTGTGGAATTATTACCATAATAGGAAATTGAAATTTAGAGTTATTTTGGATGGCTACTTGTTTATCTTGTCCAAAGAAACCTGCATTAGTTATTCTTTTCCTTGGTTTTTGTGGAAACAGGCATTGATCCTTGCCCGTCTTCTTGGATGGAGAATTAACATGGATGACATACAGGTTTTTATCGGCATCATCTGTGTTCTTTAGATTTATCCTTTTAGATTGGAATGTGTATCTTTTCCTGCATTACATCAGTTTATTATGTTTGATCATAAAAATTTATGTAGCTCATTGAAAATTATCATCTTTTTTATGCTGGAAACTCCTCTGCTGAATGATATTTAGCAGCACTCAAGACAGAATTTCTTCTTCAATTCTAATTACATGCAGGTAGAAAGTTTGTACTCAAATGAACATGGGCCTAATTCAATGTCCACAGAAGACTTTCTCAGAATTGGTCTTCCTTCACTTGATAGAGATGTTCAAGAAAGAGTTAGTGCAGCTTCTTCCAGAGGAAAAGTCCTTCGATACGTTTGCGTCATTGAGGGCTCAAGGTACACTTCTCACTCCAGTTATAACTTGATAGAGATGTTGATATCACTTAAGATACTGTTTAGACTTTAGAGTCATCTTTAGTTGAGAATGTTGAGGCAGATATGTTAAATTGCTAAAAAAAAAATATTTACATTCATGATTAGGTGTACCTCCAGTAGGAAGCAAAATGAGAATGACGTCTTTAAAATGATATAAACATGTGCTAAAAAAACACAAATGTTGTAGTCTACAAGATACGAGACGATTATATTGATGGTGTGGTATGAGAAGAGGTAGAGGTAGAGAGAGACCTAAAAATACTTTACTAGAAACTAAAAATAAAGATTTAAATTATCTTAATTTAATTTAAGATATTATTTTTTACATAGATCAATGATGGCAAGAGATCTATGTAACTGATCCTAAATAGTTGAGATGTTACAAATTGTTGAAATTGTTGCTTATGGAATAATTTATTGAGAATTTTTCATTGGTTTTATAATTCCTATTATTTTGTTGGCCTGTACAACAACTATTTCAATAATTTCTGCTGATTCCTAATCCCAACAAAGTCACCAGCGGGCTGCAATTGGTGGCCAAGCCCAAATCACATCAACCACTTGCATTCATCAGCCAGTATAGCAACCACGGTGAAAGCTATAATTGCCAACAGATCTAACTGTCCTTCAACTAGGAATTAGCCTTGCATATAGCTAAATGGTGGGAAAATAATTGGGATATTACAGCTTTGTGCTGCTGAACTGGTTCAGCCAGGCACATACCTGCCTCTTAATTGAATGGGAGGTGCACCTAATCAAAAGCCCTATGCTTACAGAGAGTGCATTCCTTAGCATTGCCTTGCTCGAGTACCTAGGCAAGAAAGCTGTGTCCCTGCGACAAGGTTGCTATGCCTATTCCAACCAGAAATGCTCTAGGTTGGACAGCTTGCATATCTTTCTCTAGTCTGAGTAGTTGTCATCCAAGTTCTAGGTAAGCCTTCTGCAAGTTGGACCGTGACAGCCAAGATCCATATGATCTGGAGCTGGACTGAACTGGGTTAATTGTGGCTACTTTGGGTTGTAATATGCTGAACCGACGTAAGTATAGGGTTGACTCAACTTGTTTGGATTTGGAACAAGGTTATCTTATACAATGTAGAGCCTGTACGAGGTTGTCCTGCAGTGGATTGGACCCCTATGATGGTCGTCCAAGCCCCTATCATTGTTGGCTATTCTTGCTATTGACCAAAGCATATGATGGGTATAGGCTGATGGTGTCGGTCGATTCAAAACTAGGGCTGATGCAACAATCGTTAGACCACAATATGGTCCATCATGGCCTCTTAAAGTAGTTGGCCAAGGTGGCTTACGCTGGAATTAACCTGGAGGTCTGGGGATGAACTTGTTCGTGTGGAGTCAGTGTTGTTTCTTTAAAGTATTGCAACTGTTAGAAGTCAAAGATTGCATTAAGTAGTTTGAGTTTGAATGTCATTTTAATATATATTTTAAATACACAGGAGAGATTAAGTGGGCAAGCAATTGATGGGCTTGAGTAACTGAGTTTCACAAATCTCATGTTGGATGGGTTAGTCAACAGTACCTGCATGCATTATTAGACAAATCTCATGCATTAGACAAGTAGAATCTAAATTAGGCCTGGTTAGTCCTCCCACACATTAGATAGGTCTTAAAGAAAGGTATTATTGGGCTGGTGTGACAAAGAGACTGTACCTGATTTTGATAATTCACTGGCTAGTGGCTGATTTGTTTCCAAGGTACAACATTATAGAAGGGAAAATTCAGTTGGGTTGATTGTAAAGGAGCTTTTCCATATTTCAGTTGAACTCGAGCTGGTCCACTGGTCCTCAATCTGAAAATCAAGTAACTTGTGAAGAGCTCATATAAAAGAAAAAGATAGCTAGATGAGGTCATCTACATAAATTTTTGTTCAATGTCGCAAGAAGATTCATGTAGCCGTTTCTGATTAGTTGGGATATATTGTTGTTGTATGAATTCATGTAGCCTTTAAGAAATGCATGAGTTTATTAAATATTATCACTTATTAGTGTTCTCAGATTTGTAACTTCAGTTAACAAATATTGAAACTTACATTTTTGTCAAATATCCAATCATGGTCCTTATTTATATATTTTTTTCCAATTGCAATTTAAATCTTTCTGAAACAAGTGAAGGACGGCTGTCAAGCTAAACAAGATGTTCTTAAATGTGACAAACTTTTAGCTGAGCACAAGCTGCTCGCTGTTGCTTGCTCATTTTGACAGCTCAGACAACACCAACATGTGTGAACTCTTATTATTGTAAAAGATGTACAAAGCAGTTTGTCCATTTCTTACAGTGTGAAACCCCCAACTTTCACTTAATAGTAATTGTTGTTTTATGTGACACTCTCTTTTAGATGAAAACTAAGATGAGTATTCTGCGAGCATTCTTAAGATCGTAATTTAATTCTTCATTACACATCTATATTATCCTTGTAGGTGTCAGGTGGGTCTTCAAGAGCTCCCAAAAGATTCTCCATTGGGGAGATTGAGAGGAAGCGACAATGTGGTATGTTTTTTCTCTGTTTTTATGGGACAAATATTGTTATATCCATCATTTATTTGTGTTTGCTGATGGCCCAAAAAATGCCAAGTTTCCAGTATACCCCTGAAAGCACGAGAGCCCCTCTTTTGTGCCCCTTACATATGTCAACCATTGGCCATATGTAAGAATATTTGAATCATTTGACGAGGAATAAGTATAAGTAATTACCCATCCTAAACAAGGAAAAAGGCTCGAGTTTCATCAGGATCTAACAAGATTCAATATTAGGCTATATAAAGGGTTTCCAAAGTTTGCAGAGTAAATAAGATTTTTTTTTTTTTTTGAGGGAAAACTAAATGGCAAAACATCCATCAGAATCTCTCAATACAAGAAGACAATTAACAAACGGAAGAATTTATCTTCTTATGTTTGCTGGTTAAGTGACTTAGATCATTATACTGAAGAGCTCTTAAATCCAAGTTGGTTTGGGAATTTTCACTTCATCTTCCCTTCTGTATTTAAGATTTCTTATAGATTCTGTAGATCATGAAGGTACTTCTCAAATGTGCAGTTTTATAACATTGGACATAGTGCAAGATTGGAGTCGGTGAAATGCTATATTCATTATTTTTCTCCTGCTACTATCAATTTTTGGTTTTTTTTTTTAATTTTATTCTGATCAGTTACAGTAGCAACCACATGTAATATATTCAATTTGTATTCTCATTGCTTTTAATTGTCATGCTGATTTTGCCTTTTTTTCTAACACATTTCCATTCTTGGATACAATAATTTGGCAGGTTGAAATATATAGTAGGTGTTACAAAGATTCTCCCTTGGTGATTCAAGGAGCAGGAGCAGGCAATGACACCACGGCTGCGGGAGTCCTTGCTGACATTATCGACCTTCAAGATCTTTTCCACTAAGTTCTGAATATCTAACGTTGGCACTTTCTGTGTCTTTGGTGGTGTCCCAGAAAAACTTAAACATCAATGCTGGCCTATGGATCGTCAGCACTGCAGCAAAACATGAACATCATGCTGGTTCTCGGATCGAGGTAACAGATGCTGGAGGTAACAGATACTTGCCATTGTCCAGAAAGTTGGATATTTCATGATTTCTTCTGCTGGTTTTGAAACTTATGGCTGGATATGTTCTATTTTATATACAGCATACTTTTGTAGAATCAAGGAAATGCCTTAGATATCTTAATATTGTCCAAGATTTTTTTCATTGGTAAGTATTACAATAGGTTATGGTTGTTTGACACGTATAGGGGAATCAGAACTAATTGAGGTTCATTTCTAAGTGTGTTTTATCTTGTCGAAAGATTGGGGGGTTTCGGGTTCAAGATCCTACACATACATATTGTATCGATGATATATCTATCATCTGATAATATAGATATTCCATTAACATATTCAGTCAGAGAGTGTTGGTCATTAAGAATTGTGTGTGTGTTGAGATCGTGGTAAATGTGCATGGTCGACCTTGTGGAGCAAAATTCGACGTCATTGTTGATGGTGCGTTGTCGACTTTGTAGGATGGTTCCCTGATGACGCATCTGTCGTCATCAGTCGAATGAGATTAGGGTATCAATCAAATGAATGAGATTAGAGTAATCAATCAAATGGAGATGATGATGTGTTGATCAGATGTCGGCCTCCGCCTGTTAAAGATGATTTGTTATTGGTTGCTCGTATTTCCCTTATCTCTAAGAAGTAAAAAAAACTATGGGTGATTAGTGATTGGCTGAGAGGTAAACATTCTTATTTAGTATTAGCATTTGGCTCACTCAACTAATGTCACTCCATAACCCAATCCAAGGATTGTTATCCTCATCTGTTTATCACATTAAAGCTATCAAATTCCTTTATTCTCTCTCTTTCTTTCTCTCTCTCTCTCTCTCCGTAGTTGTAGATTTGTATAACAAAGGATAAGTTTCATAACAAACGTAGTAATAAATCCTACATTTCGAACCTAAGCGTAGGTTTTGCTTAGAAACTTGTTTTTCTGAGACCATCTACCTTACTGCAAAGATTTCAGCCGTTGATATAGAAATTCTGGAATCAAATTTCATCTTCACCATTTACTCTTTATCGAATGTATATATATAATATATTATTAGATGATATTTATCATGGGGGTGGATTGAATCGGGCCAACGTGAGCTGTGGTTGTATGGCTAAACCTTCCCAGTTGGAATGGGTCTTCTTGGAAAGGGTACAATGTCACACGTCAATAAAAAGCGAGTCAAATTACTGACACGAGTAAAGCAAGAAAGAAAAGCCTGCTGCATTATTCGATCAAATAACCCAAAAGCCCCCTTCTCCCCCCCACCACACCCACTGCTTCCATTTAAACCCACCCCCCCAAAGGCGCATAGAAATGGACCTCCATGTTGTCTCCTCCCTCCATTCTCTTCTCCACCCAATTCCCTCCCTCCGTTTCTTTCTTCCCATCCCCTCCACTCCACGCACACCAGAATGGGCCTTCATCACCAAGCCCCAAGGAAGGACTCCAATGGCTCCGCACCCAAGAAGGAGAAGGTGGTTAAGTACAAGGAGTGCAGGAAGAACCATGCTGCCAGCATAGGCGGATACGCAGTCGATGGTTGCCGGGAGTTCATGGCGTCCGGGGAGGAGGGAACCAGCGCAGCCCTCGTTTGTGCCGCCTGCAACTGCCACCGCAGCTTCCACAAGCGCGAGGTCGACACCGACCCCGTTTGTGACTCTTCCTCCAACTCCACCTCTCCCCGGTGATCGCGGATTCCCCTTACGCCTATGTGGTTTGGTTGTGGCTTCGTTCCCTCGTGCTCCATTGCCTTCACAGATATATATATATATTGATATGTCTTGCTTGCTTATTGTTTCAAGGGGGTGGGGGGCTTGGTTTTGTTTTCTTCATTTTATATCCGATTCTTGTTTGGATTTGGTGATTGTAAGGAAGGATTGATGATGTTTTGGTGGTAATGGATCCTTTCGCTTCTTGCTTCTCTGTTGAGTGGATCAAATTATGTCATGTATGTATGATGTATCTGAAGGATTTCTGGTGCTGGTTTTGAGGCTTCCATGGCTTGCACGCACTGGAATATCTCTGTTGCAAGAGAAGACTCCATGGCGTTGCTGTGACGAGTGGTGGCTGCCGAAGGGACCTTAGCAAGAACAGCAGTGGCACACATGACGACGAAACAGACTTGTCAGAGACCTGTGGATAAAAGAGTGCGAAGCTGATGGTAAAACGCATGTCGATCATCCTATATCACCAAATATATATATATATGTAAAACCATAAACGGGTGCAGTGGTGTAGTGATAGGGATCTACGACATTAGATTCATCATCGTCGTCATCATCATCATCATCGTCACCCTCCTCCCAAATGGATGAAAGATGAAAGCAGATGTGAGGTGTGGGTGGGTGGTGCAATTAATGAGGTGGCCATCCATGAAGCATTTGCTTAGGTCCAAGATGTTGCCCTGTTGTGTGGTCATCCATCACGCACACCAAACAAGCTCCTCCCCATGTGCCATTCTCGTTCACCGCTGGAATGATGCGCGAGAGGTGCAAACCAAAAAGCACTCGCTCGGTTGAGTGCGGGGAATGATCGAACAGCTGACAGGCACGAGTTTGGAACTAGAAAAAGTTCGCTCAGGAGCCGCTGGACATTTTAAGGAAGCAAATGGAAGTGACAGCTGCAGCTGCACGAAGATTCGACTCTATCAATCGAGTCTCGACGCTTGCAGGTGAAGTCTCGGTAAAAGCTTCACGTTCGAGACCATGACACGGTTGAAGCCTTGGACGTTTACGAAGGGGGCGTGGACATGCAGAGCAGAGGAGGCAAAAGTGGGGCGGGGAGGGAGGAAAGGGACGTGAAACAGAGGAACGGAGCAGAGACGAGCAACCATGGTGGGTTCTGAATCGACGATAGGCCCTCATGTCCAATGGATGGCCGCCACCCCATGTGGCTGGTCCCCCTCGCCGGTGGCACGTCAAGGAGGAGAAGCCGTGTCCCCAGCTGCGTGGAGGGAAGGCCCCCCCACCCCCGTGGAGTTCCACAAGTCCGTCGTCGTCTTCTTCCTGGGATCCGCTGCTGATCCATGAAATCCATGCGCTGAATCCTGGATCAGATGTTCGAGATTTACTTGCCGCGTTTAATGCTGATAGAATCCATCTCATCTCAAACCGCCGAGTCAACCATACCTATTTTTAGTAGCACCAACGTGTAGGGTAGTGTAGCATAGAAAGGGTAGGGTATCTAATTAACCATATCGATCCAAGAACAGATGACTAGTTTAGATCTCATGCAAGAGGTGTCAACTATTATAGGATAGACAATTTCTCTCTTCCAAGAATTCGCATTGGTGATGATAAAAATTAAAATACTAAATAAATCGATCTTTTTACTTAACAATAAAAATTAAAATAGATAGAATATTAATAATTTTTAGTTTCAAACCCGACTATCTATCATTTGAATTTGATTCGGACATCTAATGTTCTATCCAAGTCAGAGAATTTCAATAGTCAATTTGAAATTCGATTAAGAGTAATGAAGTTTAATTTACGTAAATCATATAATTATGTATTATTATGACTTAGGGGTGTAAAATTTTATTATCAATAATTAAAATCTTTATGAATGCATCTTATCGTAAAGCAAGAGTTTCGATAAATAAAATTATATTAAAGTGAAAAAAGAAACAAAAATTATGCGAGCGTAAAATAAAATAATTTTTTTTTTTTTTTGCACCCTCTACTTTTACAAACTTATGATTTACACCCTTATAAATTGCATTATATAAAGTGTATTTTCCTATATTTGTCATTAGCATCGAAGAGTTCATGTAATCCTTAAACTTAAATAACCAAAGTACCTAAAATAACCCTACAATATAAAATTAAGATGATCCAATGACCCAATGCTAATGGCTAACAAGAGTCTATCTATCTATCTATCTAGCTTTTGACTTTTCAATGGGTTGACCAACACCTGTGGAAAGCTATATCGGTGATGTATGTTCCATACGATCACTTACATAAAATGTCAACAGGCTTAGCCCTGTTAGACCGTGACATTCCAACAAGAATTGTCCTTCAAATTAGATGGACCTTTCAATGGATTAAAGTCATGCCAAAACCTAATCAACTATATGGGATAACTCTCATCTCTTCAAATATATTTTTATCATTATATTTTGAGGTAATTTTGGAAACTCCCTAGAGTTTAGTTTTTAATTTAATTAGTGAATTCTAACATCTTCATATAAATTGATCGAAGAGTTTCCAAAAACTTATAAATAAAAAATATCATCAAGAGAGATATTATCCTTTAAATCAAGATAGAATTATTACTTAAAATATATCGTATATTTGATCTGATATGATCGTATTTTTTTTTTATATATTCTTTTTTGTACTTGTAGCAGATTAGATCATTCTAATGAAATGATTAGAAATAAAATTTTTCTCATCGTAAATGACACGAGATCATATTTATTTTTTTCGATAAAAATAAATTGATTATGAGATATGTGGCGATGTGAAACCGATATAGTCGATGTGAAAATGATGAACCTATAGTTATCTCTTTATTTTTTATTATTTTTAATTATATTTTTTTTATCCTCTAATATATATATATATATATATAGTTGCTACACATCAAATCCTTGTTGGTCAAAACATTTGTTTAACCATTAAAAAGCACTATTAAAGAGGTCGCTCACTTGCAGGTTTGCACTGGAAAGTGAGCTTTACAAGAAAGAGGCCGCAATAGGAAGAGCAGCAGCAACAGCACTAGTCATGGCTGTCACTCTCTCAACTGGACGGCTTCAAAATAAGACAGCTAAACTGAAAGCTACCATGTCTCCATTAGATCGAACATAAGCCTACCTGTGAGGTTGATACCTCGCTCGTGTGGAGGTAAAGAGAAACCTATCAACTCCCAACTCCTACAACAAATCCGAAGGCAAAAAACCAGTCAATTTGCCGAGCTTCTCTTCTCACATCACGAGAGCTTTTGCACAACCTTTAACATTTATTATTTCCATGCCATCTGGAAGCAGAGCAAGTCATTTCATATCACTTTCTTCGATCTACAGCTGTTCTTACGGCTTTCAATGCATCTGAGTCCCATGCAACAATTTACGGTCTTTCCACTGCTTGTCTCTAATGCCATGTAAAAGTTGGTAGTGTCATATTAATTTGTTTGTAGCAGTAGTTGGTTGATTCGCCTTCCACTATAAAGTGATCTGCAATTGAACTATGGCAAGAGGAAATAAGAAAACATATGCAGAACATGTAATGACTAATTTGTAGGAGAATTTTTGCATCAAGATTCATAATAAACATCCGGCTTTAGTTCTAATTCAAGTTAACAATATGTAGTAAGAGCTTGACATAAACAAATATAAGTAAAAAACAACAAATAAGCTTCATAAATTTTCCCCATTGAGCTTTGTGTAAGCTAATAGTTCTAATAAAGCCAAGAATATCCAAATCTCTTTCTATTAATTACTCTTTAGTATTTCTAGTAGATCACTCAAACTAATCAATTCATCTTGCCTAATAAATTTTTGGACAAAATGTCACTGAAAATTTGTTTTCTTGATAATATAACCATATTTCAGTGACATTTTGTCCAAAAAATTAGCTCAAAGTAATCAGTTCGCAAGCACGGAACTTGAAGGAATAAGGTTGCATGACTGCTGTTGATTCCACAAATTACTGCTTGGCATGTAAACTATAAAGTTTAGAATGTTTGGCATTTGATGGGAAAGATATGGCACCTCAGAGTGCTAACAGGTTACAACCAATGGTGCAGTGTGCAGCACTAATGCATGGTATTTAGGATGTTGAAGACAGGTATGTTCTTGCGCATGTGTGTCAGTCAGCATTCTGAGGCAAACATACTGCACTTTTGAATGTGCAGCAGCACTTGATGAACAATCCTAACAATGAAGCAAAATCTAGAAAGAAGTCAATCCTAAATCATCAGTCCATAGGAGTGAGAAAAATAAGGACTATGCTTCACAATCAAGAAGAGAATAGGTATAGTCTATATAATAACATATGGAGGTGGCCCATAAGAAGGGCAAAGTAGAATTCTAAGATTCATGTTAAATGTTGCTGCCAGCTTTATGTTGTGCATAGATATGAATCCTCAACACCAACTCTTCAGATTTCCTAACTATACTATACTATGACAGTAGAAAGAACACTAGAAAGCCGATTGAAGGTTAGCAAATCCAATCTTGCATCCACCACAGAGCACTTACAGTAATTCAATGGCCAAGCTGACTGACTTACTTGCATCCTCCACAGATCTTTTGTCCTGATTGAGCTAAAAGGAGAAAGATGTTAATCTACTCTTAGATAATGTGTCACTCTAAACTACCATAGTTTTTCTTATTAATCTTAGGGTCCATTTCATTCTTCCAGAAGAATAGAAGAATGAGTTGTTTGGAAAACCCGAAAACTCCTTCCTTCCTGGCTCTGTTTCTGGCAACCTAATATCAAACCCTACAAGAAAGCAACAAGTTTGTCCTACAGAAAGAGAAAAGGTAGATATGGATGACACTATTTAGTCTGACATAACTCATCATCCTTTACGAGTACTAAAACTGCAGTGTATGTATCAATGTGTCCTGGAAATGCATGGTAGATAAATCATGTCACAGTGATCCCAAAGCATTTACCTTGTGATGTGGTAAAGATGCTTGTAAAAGGACCTTTAGGTCACTGCTTATTGGACTTCTCCCCCACTTTAGCCCTCTCCTCCAATTCACAGAGACATAGAGATTGGCAGCATGGCGGGCGTTTCGGCCAAGTGTTGGAACTCTGACACAGAGCCATGCAACCCCGTCGCCGACCCTCGAGCCATTTGGCCGCATCTGACAACCTGTAACCATGAGTTAATAGCACTATGTTACGAGCTAACATTACCCTCGAAAGGCTGAACCACCCCACTCCCCAGTATAAATCACATCAGTCCCCCAAAGAACACCACTGCCCTTTCCAGCAGCAACCCACATGAAACCTTCTCCTCCTCCTCCCCTCCCTGTATCTCCTTCCACCTCCTCTTCTTCAAACTCGTCCACATTCTCCTCCTGCGATGTGCTTCAGGTGAGCAAGCCCAAGAAACCCAGGCGCTCCAAAAGAGCTCCTGCCACTGCCATCGGCAATGGCGGCGACAACGGGAAGCGGAGCTCTGCCTTCAGAGGAGTCACAAGGTACGCCCAATCCGGTGACCTCCACTTCTCGATTTGAGCCATTCCTCCTGATTTAGGATGCTGCATTTCATCAGGCACCGATGGACAGGGAGATTCGAAGCTCATCTCTGGGACAAGCATTGCTGGAACCCCATCCAGAACAAGAAGGGAAGACAAGGTCCGACACAAATCTCTCAGATTAGAATTAACAATCCTGACCTGATGTTTGTTAATTCATTTTGTATTCGGCCTTCATACGATTCTTAGGGCTGACAATTTTTGTGTGCTTCCCATTTTTCTTTCCACTCGGATCCCGTCCTTCGATCTGCATGTGGTTCCTCCACCGATGCTGCTCCGTTGCCTCCGCTTAGTTTATTTGGGTAAGCCATCGATCACAAACCCCCATGTTGATGTTGATCACCGCAAGTTAACATGGACGACCGACGATGTGGTACAGGTGCTTACGATGCCGAGGAGGCTGCGGCCCGCACCTACGATCTTGCGGCGCTCAAATATTGGGGTCCAGAAACAGTCCTAAACTTTCCTGTACGCTTATTCTCATTTATGCATGTTTAATCGAAGATAAATTGAGGATTAATATACATGTTTGCTGACAAAAATTGCAGCTTCAGACATACGCCGAAGAGTACGAGCAGATGCAGAGCATGTCCAAAGAAGAGTACTTGGCTTCGCTTCGGCGCAGGAGCAGCGGGTTCTCGAGAGGCGTCTCCAAGTACCGTGGGGTTGCCAGGTTCTCTCTCTCCCTACACACTCGAATTGGTCCTAAGAAAGAACCATGCGAACGAACATTGTCGATTCTATCACTCGATCTAATCCAAATCACCCCCAATTTGACAGGCATCATCACAATGGCCGCTGGGAGGCCAGGATCGGCCGAGTTCTCGGCAACAAGTACCTCTATTTAGGAACTTTCAGTACGCCTCTTGCCTTCTTCATCCAATTTTGCCTTCGTTTAATCTTCGGTGACATGTCTCGTTCGAGACATAATGCGTCATTGATGCAACCTGCAAGTGTCACGTGATTCCACGTGGTGTTGATGCACGTGAGATCCACGTGGATTATGCTTATTCAAGTGCTCCCCACGTGGACAGTGAGTCGAATTACAGCGTTGGGGCCCCGCCACCCACCTGTTTGTTCTGTGTTGACCTGAGGCTTCCCGTGCGTCGTCTTTCTCATACACCGTCTCTCACTGTGTATAAGAACATATGTTGAGTCTGTCCATCCAATGGCTTCGAGCTCAATCATAGTTTGATCATGTCCTGATGGCACCAGTACTCGTGTAGGTACGCAGGAGGAGGCAGCCCAAGCCTACGATCTTGCTGCTATAGAGTACAGAGGCCCCAACGCAGTGACCAACTTCGACATCAGCTGCTACATGAAATGCCCGCAGAAGCCTCTCCTCCCGAAACCCGAGCCACAGCCGCCGCAGGAGGAACAGAGATCCGAGGAGCTCATCGATCAAACACCAGGAGATGAGAGCATGATGGAGATCCCTTGGACCCCGTGCATGGATCACGGCTTCAGCATCTATCCGGACCACCACGCCGGCCTCCACCGGACGGACTACCTGCACGGCTTTCTGGACGGTGGCGGCTTCGAGGACAACATCGAGTGCCTGTTCGAAGGATCCGAGGCAAACGAAGGCACGGACGGTGGCGGAGGCGATGAGGCTCGTGATGCAGGGAATGCGGACATCTCGATTGCAACGCAAGCTGAAGAGGTTGGCGAAATGGCTTCTTGTCAGATGAACTCAGTCTCCTACGCTTCCCCAATTAGCATATGTTCTTAGGATTCGCGTTGAAGGGTGTACTGTTGTGTGTTTTGACTTGGACTCGGAAAACTTTGACTTTTGTGGTAGGTGGTGCAGGTAGTAGTAGTAGTAGTACTCTGGTACTGGTCCTCTGAACTTTTTAGGAAAAGGAGTTCATTTTGTTCTCATGTCTTGTTTCATTTTCCCCACCTCTTTTGTTTTCTTGTGCGTGCAGCTCATGAAATCTTTAGTACAGAACTACTGTAATCCACATGTTAATTTATACCAAAAATACGAACAATTTGACCTTTTAATATCAAAGGTCATCTCATCTTCTCTAAGAAGCTGCAGCTGAGAAGATTTACTGTTCTATGATCCAGTTTGACAAATCGAAAAAAATAAATTTATTATCCTACGTAGAAAAAATCAAACTTATTATCTCCTATTATAATTATAAATAAGGGTTTACGTTTTGAAATCATAGACACCATAAAAATCTAATTATTTATTTTGAATTTAATTTTTATTAAGTTCATATTTAATTGTTTAGTAGTTTCAGGTGTTTTATAATCTAGGAATATTTTTCTAAGATATTTATAATTATTCTTTTTATAGTAGAGTTTTGCTCTTCCTCCGTCTGTATAGACATAGGTGATTGATCGAATCATGTAAATTTAATGTCCTTGTCTCTTTTATTTTTTTATTTTGATCAACTGCAACAAAATTGTCTGTGATCAAGCCTTGGAGAGATGCATGACAAATATATGTATCTACATGCACAAGCATATTTCCCCGATTGGTCCATACGAGCTTTAAGTTCGATGCATAGCAAATCCGAGGCGGCCACATTTTTGAAAATGTGGCGGGAAACCTTTTGCTCCTCCGTCGAAATTGTCGACTCCAGGCCGTGGATGGTCTCACCGCGATCCCTGATCGAACGGCCAGCGCTGCTTGAGCGTGTGCATTTTGATCCGTGTTCGGGCCGTCGTCACCAGGGATCGACTCAGGTCTAACCGTAACATCCCCTAAAAGTACCAAATGACCCCCTCTCCCTCGCCCCGCTGCTCTCTTTCTCTCCGGAGGAGACTGCTGTGATGGCGAGAACGAAGCATCTGTCCAACAGGTCCTCCTCTCGCCCTCGGAAGCGCTTCCATTTCGGTCGGTCTCCAGGGCAGCGAACCCCCGGTCCGCCCATCTCTCCTTTTCTCCTCTCTTCTTTGGTTTGTTGGTGTTAGATTTCTTCTGATCTCTTTCCTTGCCTCTTTTCATTGTTAATAGCTGATGCGAATCGACCTGCGACGCCATCTGGTGCTACTCCTGTGCGCTTCTCTTCTCACTATTCTTTCCTTCTTCCTCGTTTCTTTGGATTTTTAAGCTTGATTGTCTTGTATATTTCGCACGAATAGAGAACCACGGCCACCAGATCGAGGAACGCGCCTCAAGGTCTTCACCTTTTCGTACTTCTTGCGCTTGATTATATGTGATTATTTATTTATTTTTTCTTACGCGCACACCAAATAAGTTCTTATTAGATAAAAGGGGAAAAAAAAGAAGGAAAAAGAGGTCGGAATTTGAATGAAAAGGGTTCCCTTTTTTTGTTGGGTGGAGGCAGGGGCACCGAGCCAATCAAAGAAGCAGCCGAGGCGGCGCAGGTTTAGGCCGGGGGTGGTGGCGCTACGCGAGATCAGGAATTTGCAGAAGACGTGGAATCTATTGATCCCTTTCGCTCCGTTTGTCAGACTTGTTAGTACCATCATCGTCTGTATTTTCCCCTTTTTGCAACAATAATGCAGAAAAAAATACGTTCTCCAAGCTCCGTAGATGCTGCTCTGGGGATGACTTGTGGTTTTGGGTTTAGAAAGGTTTACATGTTCTACTTCTAATGATGTTTGTCAGTGGATCTAGGTACGGGAGATCACTCATTTCTACTCGAAAGAAGTAAACCGATGGACCCCTGAAGCTTTGGTTGCGATTCAAGAGGTACTTTTCCTTCATTTTCACTTTGGGACATTGGTTCACTAGTTTCTTGTAAATTTTCATCAAAAATGCTAATTCAAAATTATATATGAATAATATAATTATCTCAAGTTATTTATATAATTTGGCACTAAGTTAAAAAAAATAAATATCATAATCATATAATGTCCATCCCTACATATTTGGGTCGCTAATTACATCACAAAGAATAATCAGCATGATGAGATAACATCTTATTGAGGTCCACAGGACATGCAAATAAATCGGCCCCAGATTTGGCTCATGTCTAGGTCTATAGACAAGCAATCAACTTTGTTTCACCTTCAGATGGGTTGCGTGCCTACTCAGGGGAGCAAGGGTGTCTTCATATACACCAAAAGATCTTGCAGTTTAAGATTTCTAGATTGATGGTGCTTGAACTGTAGCAAAGCTTTTCATTTTTGGATTAGTGTACTCTTTTCTTTGTGCTTTTTTCAATTGGTTGTCACCAGAGCTTTCCTGAGTTTTGTTGTCTTTAGATATAAATGGTTAGTGATACCAGAATTAGCTGACCACAACTGACTGTAGTACCATATATCACCTTGAAGTGCCTGCTTGAACTTGATTCCTAACAACCCAAATATGTCAATGAACCTTTTTGTGTTTTTCCTTAAAAAATTGCATTTCACTTTTCATTTAAACCTATCTGTTTGATTAGATAATACATTTCAGTATCCAGATCTTTTACATCAGCATCATGGATTGACAGCATACATTCTGATAGGATTGATGAACTTGGTTGTTGATAAGACTATAAAAAGAAATACTAATTGTTTTCTACATGTGTTCTGGAAAGAGCAATATATTTCTTAGATAAGTTCAATTTAATAGAAGTCACATCACCATTTTTCGTAGCGATAATTATGGTCGTTTTTGATGATTATGATAAACAGATGATAATTGTATATGGTTCCTGAGCCTTTAATAACAATGTGAAATGGTTTTGACCATGTGACTCTGTTGTTCAATGTTAAGATTTCAAGAGGGGACAAGGGTTATAGGTTGAACCAATGTAAACAAAGTCACTCAAAACCTCATCTTGAATCAAAGTTATCTGACTCGGAAGATTCGATCATTGTTGACTTCTTATGTATTTTACTTTCATCAGTTTGCTGATTATGCTTATGCTTACTTGCTTAAATCTAAATTTTTTGAACAAGAACTTCTATATAAGAAATGCCATATTCAAGTCACAATTATGGTTCAAAGACTCAATCAAAGAAAGGAGTAGGAGTCTGTTGCCCCAACTTGAAATTAAGAACATCACTTCAATTAATATATTAAAACTATGATTGGCTAGTAAGTCAACCTAATACTAGTTGACATTTTCTTAAAAAATAATTGATTTTGGTGTTCTTAACTTGGTTGAGTACAATAACTTGTGAGAAATTCTAAGAAACTCATTAAAACATACTGAGTTTGGTTCAGAGTTTTGATCAACCTGAGTTAGGCATCGAGTTGCCTTGGAGTCCTGCTTATCTGTCTTAATTTAAGTCATATCAACCTTTTTTTAGTATTCGTTGATTAGTGTTAAACATTTATAATTTAGTTGAGACTAACATGGAATTTTTTTGGATTTTAGATAGTGTTTTCTATCCATGTGTCATATAAATTATGAGTAGATAAAAAAATAGGGTAAAGGATTTATCTAGTGACAAATTATATGTTGCTATTTTCTTTCACCTGCATGTCCAACTTAAAAATTGTTCTTTGTCATCCATTTCCTATATTCAGTTGTGTGTGCTTTATGTGACAGTCCTATCATCATCAGTGTCTTAATCTCAAACTTTGAGAAATTTGAGTGGTTGCCTTGGCCTTAGTTCGCTAATCTTTTTGTAGTAAATGTCATTGGATGACTGAGAGTTGTTGTCCTTTACAATTTTAGATTGTTACAATGTCTTTGGCCAATGAAAATAGTTGGAGCTTGGAAGGATGGGTTATATGTGTAGGTGAACTTGCTCAGTTTCACATACTAGCAAAAATAGCCACCTTCAGTTGTTTTGTGAAACAGTGTTTGGTAGCAGGTGTCAACCGAATATTTAGTAACTAAACACAACCTTGTTGGCTGAGATTCATGCTCAACTGCCAGTTTTGATATTTGCACAAGCAGAAGAGACTAGAGAAGGATTATAGGTCCATGAGGACCAATCCAAGGTTTCAATTGCTTTTCTTATTTATTTGTTGTGAAACAGACTGACCACGGTGAAGACTCTGATTTATCTTAAGCTGGACATGTTTTTCACTGTAAAACATAAAAGCAGTTACCATTTGTAGCAGAAAGTAATATGGTCTGCTATCTTATTGGTGAAAGATTCGCTCATCTAAGCTGGCTTCTGTGCAACCGATGTCTACTTTTTGTCATTCATATAGAAATTGACATCATAAACTTGTTATAACAGTTTTGTTCGTCATTTGAATTTCACTTAAAACTTTCCAAATTATTGCAGGCAGCGGAAACTCATATGATAGAAATGTTTGAAGATGCATATCTCTGTGCGATTCATGCAAAACGTGTTACCCTTAGTAAGTTACACACCATGAAATAAGGTTCTATTTTTGCAGCAAATTCCTTAGATGAAAATCACTTAACAATCTTTGTTTAGGGGAATTTTGATCCAAAAACCTCTATGTAATATGTTCCACTATATATCTGCAATTAGAGTAAAGATGTCTAACTGATGAAAATGAAAGTTGATCTTTAACTGAAAATTTTCTTTTTGAAAGTTGATTTATACTTTGCATCATATCTTGCTTGTCTGTTCTTGGTGAATTTAAATACATCGACAAAGCAACTATCTCTTTTTCCCCCTAAAGAATGTGTGATATTTTGAATTAAACATGCACATGCCTTGTTAGTCATTTAGGTTATATTGTTACAGAGCTGGGGTCTTTGACTATAGTTGTCTTCTTGATTTGATAAAGGAAATTGGAGTGGCACACAACTGATTCTTTGGAGTGACATGATTAATAAATGTGTTTCCATAAATCGTTAACTGGTTCTGGAAAATCTAATTCCTCATACCAAAATAGAATTTAATGAAGATCTGGTAGTAGACTGCTTCACTAGTTTATTTGAATAGGACATTGTTTGTTTTCCTAGCAGATAATCATGAAGTTGCTTGGTGAACACCCGCATGCAAATACATTATGATCTGAATGCCTGAACCTATAATTTCTTTCATCCCTTTCTGATTAACTTAAATCTAGGTATGGTTCCTCTTATGATTAATGTCACCAGTGCATGGTGAAAAGATTAGTTTTAGAAATTGCATGGTTGCTCTTGAGCGAAATAACTACAATATGGAAAGAAATTCTGAAGATGTTCAGGTAATTGTCACTGATGCATCATGAAAATATTAGTTTTAGAAATCGCATGTTTGCTCTAGAGCAAAATAACTACAATATAGAAAGAAATTCTGAAGATGTTCAGGAGCATATAACTTAATGACACCACTTTCTTTAGCCATTGTATAACTATAAAAGGATGCTCCTAAAACAGTTCCTACCTTTTTTTTTTTTTTTGCAAAAAATGCTATTAAATGCATATACAAATATAATATCTTTCTAATGCAGTAACATTGATTAAGGATGGAGAGACATGCATCAAGGCTCATTTGAGGGTGCATGTTACATGATAAGATTTTTTGTACACAAATTAAACTAATAAAAACAGGATACAGACTTGTCTTAGAGCCAACATTATCAATTCAGGTTGGCAACTGGTATACTGCAGAATGTCAGTGTCTACATAATAATTGGAACCTATTACTGTATAATCAGTGGCCAAAACAAGAAGAGAAAAAAATGAAAACCATCAAAGACTTCGTTATAGTGATAGTGATACATAATCAATAATGTACTCAATCTCTTGTATTGCCAAGGCACGAATTAAGACTTCCAAAGATTCCCTAGGCATGAACTAAAACTTCCAAAGATTCAAGTGCCACTTGGCACCCTTCATTTTGGCCATAAGCTGGTACAGTACATTCCATTGGTGCCACATAGGAAATCACAATGCTGAGATAGTCTTACTGCCAGCATCCAAACTGAAAAAAAATGACAAAGACAATGGAGTAAAAGTGGAAATCTTGCCTCTCCTCTTTTTGTGGCCTCCACTTCGGTGAGAAACAATGATAGCCTTATGAGTGATCTCTGAAACTCTAACCCAAATAAAAAATGCTGTTCCTTAATTGATTTTAAAGAGAATTTGTTTCAAGACCAGCCTCATCAGGATCCATTCTACTTTATAAAACAGTTGTGTAAAATCCCAGTGTGATTTGATTCATGGTATATATAGTGTATTAACAGTCATTTTATTCACAAAATACCAAGATTTAACTTTGTATCTCTGCAGTGAGGAAGAGCCTAACAAATTATTAGATCAATTGTAAAAGGCTTAACTTAGTATCTCTGCAGTACTGGTTGTCATCCTGTTATTTATCGGAAGTGCAATTTCTTTTTTTGTTTTGATGCCTGCAAACAAACTGAATTGATTACATTGTTGTGATTGCATAATTACATTGTTTCAATTCATCCATTTATGGTGGCTTTTACTTTATTGCAGTGCAAAAAGATATCCATCTAGCAAGGCGAATAGGAGGAAGAAGACATTGGTGAAACAAGCCAAACTAACCCATATGTTGTGAGAATTGGATTCTATTCTCACAAACATGTTGTAACCTCATCAGGCCTTTTTTCTCCCTTGAGAAGTGACTTCTGAATATAATGTAAGTGTGAATGGTAACTAGATATCTGCACATGACCACTGCTAAACTCTTTTTTCATTCAATGCTAATTGGTTGGCCACTGAAGATACTTGATATGTGAAACTCTAATATGTGGTAAAAGATTCGGAGATATTATGAGTAGTGCATCAGGCAAATATATCCTCAAGTGGTCTAAATGGGTGTAGCTGCTTAATTTCCTTTATAAACTGAAGCCTTTGTTGTTTCTCTTTATCTGACTCATCTTTTGTGAATACAAAAGTCTGTTATGCTGTTTGTATATCAAATAGTCCGTCCGGAGTACTCAGGAGTATTTGGCAATGCAAATGTTTTCATGTGCATGTTTATATTACATCGAGTATATTTAAATTTGATATAGCAGTTCTCTGTTGATGAGCCAAATAGCGACTCCGCTTTTTTATTTGTGGCATAATTAAGCGGTTCTCTGAATTATTTCTTTGTTTGAATTGTTGAACGTATCATCCTTACAAATGGAAAGCAGGCAATAGCATAGTCATATTGTTTATGAGTTCAATTTTGGACACTGGAAATTGATTGTGGTGCCAATCAAACTGCAAAGTGCACAAACCATAACTTTTATTGAAGTCTTTGTAGACGTACTAGAGGGATTCGAGTCATTAAACATACATAATTAATCTTTTGCGTTCATGTGCATGCTGTCTTCCATGATTTTGAGAGGTATTATGGGACGGTTCATGTGTCTCTTTTATTTCGGATCTTTGCAGGTGGCCTGAAGGCTCACCCACAAATCGCAATTCCAGATCCTTCAAGGCAACACCATGTTTGAACCTCCTCTTATTCCAACTCAAGGCCTCTTTCACTTCGGATCTTTGCAGGTGGTTTTGAAGGCTCACCCACAAACTGCGATTCCAAATCCTTCAAGGCACACCATGTTTGAGCCTCTCTCTTATTCCAACTCGAGGCTTCTTTCATTTCGAATCTTTGCAGGTGGCTTTGAAGGCTCACCCACAAATCGTGTAATTTCAGATCCTTCCAAGGGCAAACCATCTTTGAGCCTCCACTTATTCCAACTCTGCAATATAATTTTGAGACAAAACGTATCGACAAAGACACCCACCTCCAATGCACAACCATTGTGCCATTTGTATGTATGGCTGTTCCATATTAGTAGTTCCAAACATCACTGTCGTTGTGTTTCGACGGGGTTTGCCGGTCTCTCAGAGATTGGATTAAAACAAGGCTCAACCCAAGCAAAACCGCTGGGGCTCAACAATAAAAAAACTTGGTAAGAGCTAAATTAATAATTATATTATAATATTTACGATATACATCAAAGTTGGAACTGAAACTAACTGGGAGTCAACTGCCATGCATCCTTCATTTTTGCTAGAGGTTGAAAATTTGTGAAACCTAATTCAGATTCATTGGAATTTAAATATTCATCACCAAAATTTCATAAATCAGGAGCATCAAGATATTCAAGTAGGCAACCAACTGCTATTATAGAAGGTTATAAATCTAGAGTGGCGATAAAATCCCAACAAACTGGAGTCAAAATTTAATCAACTAAAAAGTAGAAAAGTGCCGCGAACCACATTGAATTCCCAAAACACATGCGCTCTCCTCTCACTGCTCTCCAGGCATGCTCTTGATGATATCAGAGTCACCTGAAACACAAATAATCAAACACTAACGATCTGGCACCTAGTAAGGTAAATCAAGGTTCACTAGTTTGCAGATGGAGCAAACATACCAGGGTCAATAATGCTGAGGCAGCAAACACGGAAATATTTACCACATGCAGTTCCGAGGTCGACATTACCTTAAGTGTCATATCAGCAAAAAGAATTAAAGAAATAATCAATCATCATAGTTATGACATTAAACTGAAGAAAAGAGATGAATAGTTTTAGGCCAAAATCTGCCCAAAATTGAACAAACAAGTTTATCATGGACTCAGGACAAATAAGTAGAAGCTTGGCATTACTTCGACCCCTATTCTGAAATAGTTATTAACATATGGCTAACCAAACCGAACATGGATTCATCAGCCACTTTAGGTTTTCATCCACAGCTTAAATCACAACAAAAATGGTCAACCCAGCATAAGAAAGCAATGTAATGGTATTTTACGAGCAACATCTATAATTTTATAATTTTTTTAATTACGACTAGAGCAAATAATTCTAGAATCAAAAGTCTGTAAATACATGGTTATAAACTAACTCTTGGGCATGTATCTAACTAATAGTTACACCAATCATTTTTATTCCCCCTGCAATGTCTCTTCACTCTAATCTCCTCCCCATTACAAACAATTTTATTTCCAAGAGGGTAATATCTTCCCTTGAGGCAAGGTAGCACCAGATAGGTAGTAACACATCCATCGAATTTATTAAATGTGTGAAAAGTTCAAAAGCTGACTTATGGAAAAAAATTCCAGTATATGCAACAAAATTAGTAAATCATGAAGAAATTTCATGTCCATTACTCCATGGACATGAACTAAATAAAATTATGGTTGCGTAAGTGGCACAAATTTTAAGTCTTGGCAAGGGTCTAAAAGACTTACTTCCGCTAAAATGATGTACTCCCACCTTTGCCAACATCGCATAGTACTCAATCTCGGACTTGCGGAGCGGAGGACAGTTGTTTGAAATCATAACCAACTTGGCTGTTGAAACATAATAAATTTCAATAATGCGAAAGCAAATCTATCATGTATAATGAAAAGACTCCAAACAAGGGAAAGACTGAAAAACAAAACTTCATCCAACAAGTTTGCAGTTTCTATACTAAATTGTCTAACATAGCAGCAGTTTCTTCAATAAGCTAAACGATCTCAAAACGAATAATATAACATTGACAAAAACAAAAGTATAGAATGCAGAATATGCTTGAGGAAACAAATAAGAGGATAATGTTATATGTATGACAACCTAAGATTGGAAACAAATCAAAATTAACACACATTATCAAATTAACAAAGACCGATAACATCATTTCAGGACAACATATTTACATTGGTTAGCACCTTCAAATAGATCCCTCTATATGCCAAAATTACCAAAGACCGATAACATTATCAAAATTAACACAAATTATCAAATTAAGAAAGACCGATAACATCGTTTCAGGACCACATATTTGCATTGGTTAACAACACCTTCAACTTGATCCCTCTATATGCCAACCCATGAAAAACCATAATACTAGTGAAGACCATTGTGAAGGATGGTACAGGCCTTTCTTAAATCTTACTAACGTGACTTCCACTAGTTGACTAATTCAGGGCCATTGGGATATGGTATAAGCCACACATGCAATTTAGCTGATTATGACTGTTTATAACCTCAATCTTGATCCTTAAACAAGCTAGCATCCTTATCATACCCACTATTTACATCACAGGAATGAAAAAAAGATACAGAATCTTAAAAATCAGACTAATAGTCAATTAAGGAACAACATAAGGTTCAGGGGAAAGAACCAAATCATCATCAATGGTGGTGCAGTTCTGCAACATTTGCATGACATTGCAGCAAATAATGAAGTTCAATAACTTGACTTCTGGTACCCTTAGAGAAACAAGAAGCACAGCAAACTGAAATTACCTATCAGCATTTCGACAGTGCATTAATCACTCGACCCACTTTTTTATATCCCTCATTCCAGTGTCTATCAAAATATTGAAAGATGGAAATTTCACAATTTATGCATCACTCTAAAGCTTAGTAGTGGAAGAATTCAATAACATTTTCAAGGCATTTGATAGTGAATTTTGAAGGTATCTGAAACCTGCTATTAAGTTCCCGTAACTACAATAAGAGTCTTACTACAATAATTGCCATCCATAAAACAGAAGTGACAGAACAGGAATGATATTTATCCATATACACAGAAAAGATGTAGCAATTACAGGCTAAGGACCCTTTTTCCCATGAAAGAAGCAGCACTTTGGCTTCCGCACATTCCCAAAGATAAGTAAATCATCTAATAGATATCGGAATAAAAAAACAGGAGAAGCCAAGTTGATACGAGAACTCTAATCAGCTCATAGGCACAAATCAATAGCCTAAGAACCAAACCCCTGATCCAAACCATATCCACTCCAAACAACAAGATATGTCACAAACTAAAATCCCATCGTCCAAAATTCGAAACCACCCAGCCTTAAACAAGAAACAATATCCATAGTTCCATGAGAAAACAAACCCTTTCCTCTACTACCCGTATAGATTACTGCTGCAGATCTACAATAGGGATTAGTCTATATTAGGAACCTCACAAATCCTAGTAATTTCAAATAAATAAATTGTTAAAGCAACAGATAGGACTCCCGATATGCAGCATCAGATCAAATCTCGCCGTCCTTATGAAAAGAAAATAAACATCGCCAACCTTTAGAGCTCCGAAGAGATCTCAGGACGGTCTTGTAGCCGAGAGTGTACTTCCCACTCTTCATCACGAGAGCGAGCCTGTTGTTGATGCTCTCCGTACTCTTCTTCTGCACCATCCAAATCACAAAAACCCATAGGAGGCCATCAAAAAGGAGAGATGACGCGTCCACCTGCCTACAATCGAAAGGATGGAACTAAGCTTACCGCCTTCTTAACGGGCGCCATTGGTGAAGGAAATTGGTGCGCAGTGGTGTGTTCGGGCGGCGAGAGGCGGAGGCAGCGGCGAAGCTTGGAGATCTCTCCGAATGACGCCCTGAAGTGCTCCCTAGGGTTTCTGATATATATACGGAGAGGAGGGGCCGGGCGTCATTTACTTAATTACCCTTCATTGTAATCGTGTGGGCGTCATTTACTTGATTGGTTTCATCAGACCGCATCAAAATGCAGCCCGTTATAACAGATATAACGGACCCTAAACTTCACCGTGATATATTATGTTGTTTATAGCAAGCTGTTGTTTAAGGCCCCGAAATTCTAATAATGTATTGTGGTTATATTTGCTTGATGCTGTCATCGTACTACTGCACATGCTCATTCAACAACCTACGAATTGGTAAAGATCTTAATTCTTCGTATCCAAATAAATCCTAAAATAGTCATTTAATAAAACGAAAATAAATATATAAAGAGATAAATAGGAATATGGAGCCATTTTGGGCTAACGGTCCATGTAGTTATTGGTTTTTTTTCGTATTTACAACTCAACCTATAAGATTGTAACCTTCTCCCACCAATAACAAATCTCGTCACTAATATGTTATTTTTATGCTTTTGTTAGGGCTAATTATAAATTTACTCATTGTAGTTAAATCTTGACATCTTAGATTTAAAAATTTTATATTAAAATTTTTATAATTATAAATTTTTTATGTTAATTTTTTTATAATTATAAAAAATAAAATATTTATCTTTATTTATTTTAATATCATCGATTTTACCAATAAAAGATAATAACACATATAAGAATGATATGAAAATGATGAGCAAAAAGATAATCTTAATATCTTAGTTATGTTTTCTTTCTTCTTAGTCAATTGTTGTAATAGTGGTAAATGACGGTATCGCTAGGGACTATAGGTGGTTGTTGTGATTGTGATTAGTAAGAATAACACGGTGATCAATGAGAATGATATAGGAATGTCCTTAGAGACCAAGGGGTAGTAGAGTTTTGGAGGTAGTGTTAAGGGACTTCTATGGCTTCTTAGGGAAGAATGAGGAGGAAGAGGAGGGAGAACAATAATAAGAGACGAGGAAAAAGGAGAGGAGGAAGAGGATAAGGATGATGGCCCTATCGACGAAGATGTAGAGCAACACCGCTCTACTCTATACTAGCAACTTCTACTCTACATCGCTTGACATCTACATCAGCGCCAACGTAGATACAAAGTGGTGCTCATCCTTCTTCCCTCATTTCCCCTTTCCCTAATCATTCATCATTTTTCCATCTTTCGTCTCTCTGCATACACTGACATAGTGTTGGGTCCAGTCCATATGTGGGCTTGGACAATTGGGTCTATTGAGCCCAAATCAGTAATTAAGAGAGAAAGGGCAAAATTGGGCAACGTGCGTGCGCACAGTGAGATTGCAACGTGCAGAGAAAAGAGGAGAGAGAAACAGAGAGAGAAAGTAAGGTTTCTGAGTTTTTCTGCTTGACGATCGGTGGCCAAACGTTGTCAGTTTCGGCCCAAATTTTATGTGAAGAATCCTTGCAGCAAACTCTACAATCCTAACGGTGTTGATCTGCAGTTTACCCTCTCTAAGGTACTTTCCTACGATATCCATTCCGTGAGACCTAGAATTCTCTTTTGAGGAGATCCATCCTACGTGATGAAGATATGCTATTCTTGAGCCAAGATCTATGTTTTTGATGTTATTCTGATCCTCTAGTTATTATAGAGAAGACCTACTGTAAACCTGTTATCATTATTATTGATAGTGGAAGTTTGAGGTGGACTACGGTCCCGTGGTTTTTCCCACATTGGGTTTTCCACGTTAAAAAGATTTGGTCTCACTGTGTGATTGATTTATTGCTCCGTTGTTTATACTGTGCTGATTGATTTAGCATTTTG